GGAAAAGGGTTCTTTAGATTTTTAGAATGTTCATCTTCACACTAAGAAAAGGTTCTTGTAAGAACCGTTCACTGAAAGGATCTTTGAGGAACCAAAAATGGTTCTATGGCATCACTGTGAAAATCTCCATTTGGAAACTTGCACAGCATTAAAGACGCAATCTGGTTAAACTCTCTCTCTCTCTCTCTCCCTTTCCAAATCATAATCATCATCCACAAAGATGCTGAACGCACCGAGCCTTCAAAGGACAGGAAATGACATGACAGTTTGGACGCCTCTGGTCCTCTGCTTCTCTCGTGGGCTGAAACACTGAGGACTGTGACAGGCTCTTGCTGTATATTATCAGTGCAAGGATTTCTTTATGTAACATATTGCTGAGATTGGCAAGGAGGAAACGATTATACAATCAAGGTTCTTAAGTTTTAAAGGTGTTTAGGAACATCATTTGCTCTGAAGAACTGAAGGACATCTTCCTCAAAGCTTATGAATTGTCATAATTTAGACCCTGAGCCTTTAACTTTTAGTATGACTATGTTAGCCTTAAGCAGTGTTGTAGTCGAGACCACCTCACTCGAGTCCGAGTCGACACCGAGACCAGAGAGAGTCGAGTCCGAGTCAAGACCGAGTCCATAGAGAGTCGAGTCCGAGTCAAGACCGAGTCCATAGAGAGTCGAGTCCGAGTCGAGTCCGAGACCAGAGACGGTCGAGTCCGAGTCGAGACCGAGACCAGTGAGGGTTGATTACCTAATTTACTTTTATTTACTTAGAGAAATCCTTTTTTTTTTTTTTTTTTACTGAATTTACTTAGAGTTTAAAAAATATGATCAGTTTAGGGTAAAAAGGCCACATAGTAGGTGGTGTTAAAAGTAATTTTATTACAATTTGTCATGCGCAGTTGCGCACTAGAAAATCACCAATCACTGGGCGTGTCAATCAATTTAAAGAAATATTTTATTAACATACATTAATAATCATGAAAAATATTTTTAATTGAACTCGAGTGGACTCGGGAATAATTCCGAGTCCTAAAAAAAAAAATGTTCGAGTACGAGTCAATTCCGAGTCCAAATGGACACGAGTCCATGACAAGACCAAGACCATTAAAATATGGTCTCGAGACCGAGTCCGAGACGAGTCCAAGTCTCGAGTACTACAACACTGGCCTTAAGGTTATAAATAAGCTGGTGTGTTCCAAAACAAAGACAGAATTTGCATTTAGGAGATATAAGCATTCAAAACATAGTCTCACTTCTGCTAAAATGGATCGCGGGTTTATATGACATCACCGCGGACTTCAGCGTCTCATCACATCTCATGTCCAATCAAATGCTCTCTAGAATCTAAAGCTCCGCCCCTCTGCTATAAACACCACCAGGTCAAAGCGACCGTCGACACATCAGAGCAATATAGGTTTGAGATGTGCGTTCGGTTGCTCAAACGCTCGAGTTTTATTCCGTTTCCCAACTGTACGTTGGTTAAGAATGAAATGGCTAGAAATGAATCACAGCTCTACTATTGAATCCAACATATCATCAGCGCTCAGATTCACTTCCATGGTGCTGTCAAGCACGACTTGCAGTTTGAGAAGGTAAACTAAATTTTAAAAGGGGGAGGAGCCATTCAATATGTCCCGCCTTAGCTTCATGTTTCATTGGAAATTACGTCAATGCATCCCAGCTACGCGTTCCAATGCACTTCAGTGGGCCTTAGTCAGACTAGTTAGAGTCCTAAAAGAATCGATGTTCCACTGGAAATCCGTCGGCATTGAAACGTGTTCGGCAAATGTGTTGTGCAACTCTCACACTCTCAAAGCAGCCATTTCTCACACTTTCACACGTCCAGCGCCAAACCACACACACTTCTGAGTCATCAGTCTCATAGGGACGTGTGACATCTCTGTTTTTCTGTCATTATCACAACTTCTCCTCTCGGGCCCGTGTTGGGCACGTGAACGGAGGGTTTCTGCAGTCTGATCTCGCAGGGTTTGTTCGTTATGTCAGTGATCATACGTGGAGCTCTGAGAGAGAGAGAGAGACCTCCTCAGAGACGAGCTGATGTAACCCAGTCTAATGTGACGTCACAGTTACACGGCCCAGTGCTTATTTTAAAGCACAGTTACACAACAATTCCTTACTATACAGCGTATAGTTTCAAAAGTCAAAACTCACTCCAAATAACATTGCAAGTGCATAAACAGGGTCCTCTCTCACTAAAATGCATTCAAAATTTCTACAAAATATATATTATTATATTATTACCATATCTCAGTCTAGATTTATAAAATGTGAAAAAAATGTTTGCTTAACATACACGGACATACATAAAATTATATGTATATATGAAGAGTTCAGATGCAAAAGCCTCTAAATGCCATTTGAAATTTTCTTCTTTAATGATGATTTTTTATCAAACTTGTATATTTAAGTTCAGTAATTTCACTTAAATAACAATTAATAGGTAATTATCATTGCCATTTAAGTGAAATCACTGAACTTAAATATACAAGCTTGATAAAAATCATCATTCTAGAAGAAAATTTCAAATGGCACTTAGAGGGTTTTGCATCTGAACTCTATTATATATATATATATATATATATATATATATATATATATATATATGCATAGTCAAACTCTTGAGCTACTCAGTTTTCAATATGTTTGACAGGATAGAAACAACATTTCAGACTGTTGAACTCACATTAACTCATTAACATACACGGACAGACACGCAGGTGTCAGGTGTGATTTCAAAATCGGGCTTGTTTAAAATCCCACAGACATACACTGAAAGACGGACCTGAGCTGAATATATGGGTCTTTTGACTTGCAACCATCTAGCAACACCTTAGCGACCAAATAACACTGATGCAATGTCTGATTTCAGGAGAGCGTTGAATTCTGCCATATAATGATAGTAAAAGTAGGCAAGAAATTCCAAGTATGTTAGTATTCTATTTCTGGCAAGTAAGTTTTGCATTGAAGAATCACTTACACTTAACAAAATGAGTTATTCATATCAGTGATATTTCATTTGCATGTCTGGTATAGCATTTCACAGGCTTGGATGATATTTCACAGGGATCAATGCAAAACTAGCAGATCTTCCAGAAACAAACCCCATTCAGTCTTACATTTAACCGGCACGGTTCTCTTTGTGAGGTAACGTATCAATTATAAAGATGTTTTAATGTTTTTTAACGCTGTTTTCCATGCAACTTCTCATCGATTTCCACTCAACTTCCAAACATCCAGGTGTGATCATGTCAACGGCGGCAAACATTTCAATGTGCCGAACAGCCATTTTCGCAAAGAACTCCAGCGAATGCAACAATGTACCTTTCAATTTCATCGCCTTCTCTTTCGGCACAAATCTGGTTCTTGGGTTTCCGGCGCACTGTTACATCCTGTGGTGGACCATGAAAGAAATGATCCGAGGACGGTCTCTCGAAGTCTTCGTTTTCAACACATCACTCGTCGAGGTCATCTTTAACTTCTGCTATGCATTTCTGATCAAACAGTACTTCTTCAACTGCTCGAACTGTAAGCCCATTACATTCTGTTTTGCAATGCTCCTGTTGGTTGGTCGTCCTCTGTTTCAAACCTTCACCTGTGTGGAGCGTTACATAGGCGTTCTCCATCCTGTGACCTTCCTGAAGCTCAAACCCATGAAATACAGGATCACCATTTCCGTCATCGGATGGATTCTGATCATCTGTTCGTGCCTTTTGTCTACAATGGGAGTCATTGACTTTAACATCTTACTTTTGCCGCAATACTTAACTTTTCTCATCACCAAAGTGTTCACTTGCTTGGCGGTCTTGAAGGCTCTGAAGCGTCCTGGACCGGGTGAAGACGTCAAGAAGAGAGATGGAGCGAACCGGGATAAAGTCAAGGCTTTTCGGATCATTAAGATCGTGCTGGTGTCTTCGGTGGTGACGTACGCTCCTATGGTTATCAGTCTCTTGCTGTATTATTTTATAGATTCGAACACATTTCTTTTGTCCTGGTCTGCTTGCTTTTGTTCAGGGATCCTGTTTGGCTTCATGCAGCCTTTTCTCTATATCAAAAGACTTAGAAATGTGTGCCTTTGTTTTGGCATTTAAAAGTTTCAATAAAGCTTCCTGTGTAACTGAGGTAAAAATGTGAAACTTACTGTTCAAAAATAAAAAGATATTTGACAATACAACCACTAGACTTTTGTTGACTCGATTGACTGCGTGAAATGAGTTCATTTTATAACAAAAGAGTAAATCAGTTTCCTTGTAGTCTACAAAAGCTCACTAACTGGACTGAAAAGTTCTCAGACCAACTTTGGCATCTTCCACTCAAACTCTATAGCGCAACCATGCGTTAAAATTTGCAAATGCATGCATGAACTTTGGCCTTGAAACATTACTCTTTCTCTTTAGATTCCATGCATCAAGCAAGTTCACCACACTCACTAGTTTCTACTGTCAGGTTATGTTTCAGGAACATTTTCCCTACTGAAATTACATTTCTTAGAGGTCTTTAGCATTATGTTCAATGGGAACCTGAGCATTAGATAAAACAAAAACGTAATTGCTAGAAATTCTCACTAAATGTGTGTCTGTAATTGCTGTCTGCAGTTATATTTCATAATTTTGTTCAGTGAAATAAAATAAATGTACATAAAAAATTGTTTTGTGATTTTTTTTGGTATCAAAGAGCAAGAAAAACAGATGTTGCCAATATGTGGGTCAATGACGTGACGCTTGCTTTTTCTGTCCGACTGAACTTTTTACCAATTAATAAACATTAAAATTAATAAAATTATAACATGTATGTCTACCACCTTCCTTATACATATGCCCACTCTTATTTCTTTAAAAATAATTAGTTTATTGGCATTTTCTGCCACCTGAAGTGTGAAAACATCATGTGGGGCGACCGTCCGGCCTTGACTTCTGTTTGGACAACTGGTTTTAAATTAAACTAAAATAATTTAAATATAATTCTTACCCTATTTGGCATAATTTTAAACTTGTTTTCCATTGATTGACAAAGTTATGAAACATTTGTACACACATTTCAATCATAATAAACAAACAAATCTTGTCCGAAGATGTTCATTATCTGAAATATCATCTGGGGCGACCATCAAGAAAATACAAATAAGGAACTTATATTCTGATAATCATCTCAAAGAGGATGCTGCATCAGCCAGCCTCATGGTGAGGGTCCCACAGAGACAACTAGCAGGTGAGTTGTCACTCTCATTTTTACAAACAAATCCTCTTTAAAACTGCTGCAGTGTATACGTCACATTTTGATATCATGTGGGGCGACCAACCTAAAACTGTAAATTATAAGTTTTATACGCAAATCTTTATTTTTAAATTTGTAAATTGTAAATTTGTCAGTGATATGTGGTGAGAAGAAGCTAATTTGGGCTCTATAGCTAAGCATTAGCCTGTTATACTTGATTAAACTTGAAAATATCATCTGGGGCGACCAAGCATCATGTGGGGCGACCGCCACTGATTGCTTAAATGATAGAAAACACATATCATGTATTTGTAGTTTCTGTGTGCAAATGTTTACATTCATTATATGCATTTAGTTGTTTTAAATAACTTTTTACATTTCACCACATGATTTCAATAATTTCCCTCCTACTTCAGAGAGAACTAAGCTTACTTCTTTTTGATTATTATGTTTTTTATCAAATAAATGTGTGAATATTAAGCATTTATTCTACTTTTTCCAATTCTTTTTCTAACTCTGTGTATGTTTAAATATACTTTTTTTCTAGATGGCCCCACTAACAAGCAAAGAAAAGACTGCTCGCTACAGGCAGCGGAAAATGCTGTTCAATGTGTCTGCAGAATGCTGCTATGTTCAACTGTTAAATGAAAATAGTAATGAAAATGCAAACATTGTATGTTTAAGTGATTAATGAAATGAAAATGAAAAAGGAAAATGCTGTTCAATGTTATGTCCAAGCATTTAATGCATTAGTATTGAAGATTTTAATATGATGGTTTTGTGTCAAATGAAATAGTGAGGATACTGTTAATGTTATGAAATGTGTCAAATGAAATGGATATGCTGATTCTTCATAAAATTTCATTAAATATGCTGATTATTCATAAAATTCCATTAAATGTGTTTTAACTATCAAAATCATTGAATAGTCTTAATTGCCTGCTGTTTTTCATCATGTGGGGCGACCATTTGTCATGTGGGGTAACCAACTATATTCAATTCTGCAGTAAATTCAAAAAATAATGTCTGTCCATTTTGGTTGAAATATAATTCATTGGTATAACATCAATAAGTGGATACTATATCTACACATATTAAATCAGTTTTATGGATTATATGAGTAAAATAAATATGTAATTGCTTTATGAGGGTGACACTGCCATTATAGATAAAAATGTATTTAACATCATTTGCAATAAATGAAAGGACACATGAGTATATCTTTCTTAAACAGTTCAATTAATTACTGATACTTCTTAAAATATAACTTATGCAAAGAAAATCTATTAATTATAAGATAAATTACGGTCGCCCCAAATGACTTTTTTAAGGTCATTGCCCTATTCATTTGAGTTTAAAAGCACTAAAATATCTTTGTTTGAAGTTTTCACACACATGCATGTGTAGACTACACTCCACATGTTTAGAAAATAGCCAAATATATTATTATTTCAAGTATTTTAAAAATGGGCCTCTCAAAGGCCTTATACGTCATTGACCCATCTACAGTATAATGATGTGTGCCAGATCATAGAGATTAATTCATTTTGAGATGTAGACAATATATTCAGATTTGCATTTATATAGTCAGGATTTATAAATATAAATTCCAGTACAGTTTACATTAAGTATTCAGAGATTTTAATCAACACATCCAGGCTTATAATCAGTAGTGTCAAAGTCTCAACATCTAGCTACTGGAGTGCCCCAGGGCTCAGTGCTGGGACCATTTCTCTTCTCCATCTACATGCCATCACTAGGACCTGTCATTCAGAAACCTGCTTTTTCCTATCACACAACTCTTCCTTTCATTCCAACCAGAGGATCTGATGGGTGCTCCTCGCATCTCAGCCTGCCTGACAGACACTTCTTGCTAGATGAATGACCACCACCTTAACCCTAACTAAACCTTGCGAAGACAGAGTTGCTTGTGGTCCCGGCCAACCTAACTATACACCACAACTTCTCCATTCAGCTGGGCTCATCAATCATAACTCCATCAAGGTCAGCCAGGAACCTTGGAGTTGTGATTGATGATCAATTGAACTTCACAGACCAGATTACTACATCTGCCCGGTCATGTAGATTTGCCCTATATAAGATCAAGGGGAACAGGCCATGCTACCCAACTCCTTGTCCAAGCTCTTATTCAATCCAGACTGGACTGTAATGCTCTCTTGGTAGGTCTTCCAGCTTGCACTGTCAGACATCTGCAACTGATCCAGATGCTGCATCTAGAGAGGTCTTTAACAAGCCGAAGAGAGCACACGTCACATTTGCATGTCATATATTGCATTTCACAGGCTGGGGTGATATTTCACAGGCGTTAATGCAAAACCAAGTCAAAAGTGATCCAATAAGTCATTGATCAAAACTCTGGTTTGCAGCATGTGAAACAAACCACATTCAGTCCCACATTCAACCGGCACAGCTCAAGCAGTCTGGGTGTTTAGTGAACACTGAAGAAGAACGACAGAAAACTAATCTGTGAGGTAGCGTATCAAATTTAAAGATGATTAAATGTGAGTCTTTCCTTCTACTTTCCCATTGATTTTCATTCAACTTCCAAACATCCAGGTGTGATCATGTCAACGGCGGCAAACATTTCAATGTGCCGAACATCCATTTTCGCAAAGAACTCCAGCGAATGCCACAATTTACCTTTCCATTTCATCGCCTTCTCTTTCGGCACAAATCTGGTTCTTGGTTTGCCGGCGCACTGTTACATCCTGTGGCTGACCATGAAAGAAATGATCCGAGGACAGTCTCTCGAAGTCTTCGTTTTCAACACATCACTCATCGAGGTCATCTTCAACTTCTGCTATGCCTTTGTAATCAAAGTGTACTTCTTCAACTGCTCGAACTGTAAAAATGTATCAATCGTTCTTGGACTGGTGCTGTTGGTCGGTCGTCCTCTGTTTCAAACCTTCACCTGTGTGGAGCGTTACATAGGCGTTGTCCATCCTGTGACCTTCCTGAAGCTCAAACACATAAAATACAGGATCAGCATTTCCGTCATCGGATGGATTCTGATCATCTGTTCGTGCCTTTTATCTTCATTGGGAGGCATTGACTTTAATGTCTTACTTTTGCCACAATACCTTTCTTTTCTCATCACCAAAGTGTTCACTTGCTTGACGGTCCTGAAGGCTCTGAAGCGTCCTGGACCGGGTGAAGACGTCAAGAAGAGAGATGGAGCGAACCGGGATAAAGTCAAGGCTTTCCGGATCATTCAGATCGTGCTGGTGTCTTCGGTGGTGACGTACGCTCCTATGGTTATCAGTCTCTTGCTGTATTACATTATAGATTATGACAAATTTCTTATGTCCTGGTCTGTGAGCTTGTGTTCAGGGATCATGACGGGGTTCTTGCAGCCTTTCCTCTATCTCAAAAGAATTAGAAAATTTGTCCTTTGTTTTAACATTTAAAGGGGTATGTACACATTTGAATCTATCACTTGCATTTTGTATTGCCAATGTGTGAACAGCTTGCAGCTAAACTTTAAAAACAAGACCAAGTTTGTGTAAAGGACTTCCATCTTCCATTCAATGACACATGAAATGAATGCTTATTCAATGAAAGAGCCGAATCGCAGTTTATAGTCATTTAATTACTTATATGGGGGTGGAGGGGGGATACTAAACCAAAATGAGCCTTTTATCTTTAGGCTATAGCAAGGAGTTTAATCAGTTATTAATAAACTATTAGGCCTATGTGTTTTCTGAGTCACCCATAAGAATGTCATCATCATCCTTACTTATTACTGGACTGACCAAAGAGCATACAGGAGCGAGGTAGCCAGTCTATAGTCAAATGATGGGAGGAGAAAAATCTCACTCTCAACACACACAAAACCAAGGAGATGTTCATAGACATGAGGAAGGAGAGAAGGACGTCAACGGGCTTGAGGTGGAAAGGGTGAGCTGGTTTAAATTCCAGGGAGTCTACAACAGTGATGACTTCACTTGGTTACATAACAAAGAAAGCACAACAGCGGCTTTACTTCCTCAGAAGGATGAGGACATCTGGCATGTCATCCAAGATCCTCATCACTTTTTACAGCAGCGTCATTGAGAGCTTCCTAGCCAGCTGTATCACAGTGTGGTACGGTAGCACCACAGAAATGGACCGTAAGCACCCGCAGAGAATGGTAAAGACTGCTGAGAGGATCATTACAACACCATTGCAGAACATCCACAGAGGTCTAAAGAAGAGCCAGCTCCATTGTTAAAGACTCTACCCACCCCCCAACACAAACTGTCCTCTGCACTTTAAAAGTAGACATTTCAAGCTTTCTTTAGATACACTAGTCATGTTTGCGAGGCTAGTAGTCTATAAGCTGAGTTTCGTTTAATTTTTGTGACACGCTTCGGTTCACAGAGACTGAGGCAACAGAAAGCGCATCCTGTTTATTTCCATTATTTTACAAAAGCAAATAAACAAATCATGTATTATGTAGTATTTTGAGTTGTTTCTGCGGTTATCTGGATAAAAAGCCAGCGCCACCACTTCATGCAACCGCGTGACCTGACATACTGTAATTACACAAGGACCAGATTTAAACGATCTGTCCGTCACAGACCGAGACTTAGCCACGAATATTAGGAGGAAGCCCTATTAATTACCTAATACATTTACCTAAAGGATCATTAGGAACACCATACTTCCCTTTCGCCTTCAGAAGGGCCTTAATTCTACGTGGCCCGTATTGATAGGATAGCATCTTGCAGTTGATGGAGATTTGTGGGATGCACATCCAGGGCACGAAGCTCCCGTTCCACCACATCCCAAAGATGCTCTATTGGGTTGAGATCTGGTGACTGTGGCGGCCATTTTAGTACAGTCAACTCATTGACATGTTCAAGAAACCAATTTGAAATGATTCGAGCTTTGTGACGTGGTGCATTATCCTGCTGGAAGTAGCCAGAGGATGGGGACATGGTGGCCATAAAAGGATGGACATGGTCAGAAACAATGCTCAGGTAGGCCGTCAAGAAAACATCCCCCCCTTTTCATTTTCAGAAAATGCTTTGCTGAATACCTCGGTTGTAACGAGTGGTTATTTCAGGCAAAGTTGCTCTTCTATCAGCTTGAAACAAACAGGCCGGTCTGAGTATTTCACAATCTGCTCAGTTACTGGGATTTTCACGCACAGCCATTTCTAGGGTTTACAAAGAATGCTGTGAAAAGGGAAAAACATCCAGTATGCGGCAGACCTGTGGGTGAAAATGCCTTGTTGATGCTCGAGGTCAGAGGAGAATGGGCCGACTGATTCAAGCTGATAGAAGAGCAACTTTGACTGAAATAACCACTCGTTACAACCGAGGTATTCAGCAAAACATTTGTGAAGCCACAACACACACAACCTTGAGGCGGATGGGCAACAACAGCAGAAGACCCCACCGGGTACCACTCATCTCCACTACAAATAGGAGAAAGAGGCGACAATTTGCAAGAGCTCACCAAAATTAGACAGTTGAAGACTGGAAAAATGTTGCCTGGTCTGATGAGTCTCGATTTCTGTTGAGACGGAGTCAGAACTTGGTGTAAACAGAATGAGAACATGGATCCATCATGCCTTGTTCCCACTGTGCAGGCTGGTGGTGGTGGTGTAATGGTGTGGAGGATGTTTTCTTGGCACACTTTAGGCTCCTTAGTGCCAATTTGGGCATCGTTTAAATGCCACGGCCTACCTGAGCATTGTTTCGGACCATGTCCATCCCTTTATGGCCACCATGTCCCCATCCTCTGATGGCTACTTCCAGCAGGATAATGCACCGTGTCACAAAGCTTGAATCATTTCAAAGTGGTTTCTTGAACATGCCAGTGAGTTGACTGTACTAAAATGGCCGCCACAGTCACTAGATCTCAACCCAATAGAGCATCTTTGGGATGTGGTGGAACGGGAGCTTCGTGCCCTGGATGTGCATCCCACAAATCTCCATCAACTGCAAGATGCTATCCTATCAATATGGGCCAACATTTCTAAAGAATGCTTTCAGCA